ACCTAACCTAACCTAACCTAACCTAACCTAACCTAACCTAACCTAACCTAACCTAACCTAACCTAACCTAACCAACCTAACTACCTAACCTAATCTAACCTAACCCAACCTAACCTAAACTAACCTAACCCAACCTAACCTAACCTAACCAGCTAACCTAACCAGCCTAACCTAACCCAACTTAACCTAACCCAAACCCTAAACCAACCTAAACCAACCAACCTAACACCTAACCACCTAACCTAACTAACTAACCTAACCTAACCTAACCTAACCAACCTAACTAACTATCAACCTAACCTAAACCTAACCTAACCTAACCAACCTAACCTAACCTAACCTAACCTAACCTAACCTAACAACCTAACCTAACCTAACCTAACCAACCTAACCTAACCTAACCTAACCTAACCAACCTAACCTAACTAACCTAACCTAACCTAACCTAACCTAACCTAACTAACCTAACCTAACCTAACCTAACCTAACCTAACCTAACTAACTAACCAACACCTAACCAACCTAACCTAAGTTAACCTAACCTAACCAACCTAACCAACAACCCAACCCAAACCCAACCCAACCAACCCAACCCACCCAACCATAACCTAACCTAACCTAACTAACCTAACCTAACCTAACCTAACCTAACCTAACCTAACCTAACCTAACCTAACTAACCTAACCTAACCTAACCTAACCTAACTAACCTAACCTAACCTAAACCTAACCTAACCTAACCTAACCAACCTAAACCTAACCAACCTAACCTAAGTTAACCTAACCTACCCAACCTAACCAACCCAACCGCAACCCAACCCAACCCCTAACCTAACCTAACTAACCAACCTGGCAATATAAGAAAAGACGAATCAGCACAAAATGCTGGCTAGCTTTTTAGTGATTTACCCCAACCTTTATACCCCGCAAAATCGCCTATATTACGTATATGGCAATGAGAACTAACTATGCAACTCCTTCGTTGGTTACAGTAATCTCCCTTATCAGGAGCGTGCTCAGTCAAAATTATTTTGTTGTTATAAGAACAGAAAAGATGTAAGATGTCAAAAAATAAACTTGCTTGAGGGCATAAATTCAACCAAACTTTACTTCTCGATCTCCCGCAATCGTCTTTCTCACCTGCCCACAAATATGCGGTTAAAGATCGAACTAAATAACCTCTCCGTCGGCCTACTGTAATTTACTTTATCGGGAAACGCTCATCTAGGCACCATTTTTAAAAAGTAATGCATAATTACCTTTGATCAAATATCCCTGTACAAAGAGAACAACTATTTTTACACCGACATTGAATAAAACCTGCTACTCGACCTCTTCAATATTTCTGATAAACTAATACTTCATGCCAGATGAAGAAACATCTAAACTAAACATCCCGGCTAAGATATAATGTTCACTAATTAATTCACTAATTGCCATAGCAATGAAAACTGTTAAAGGTTCCTTAAACAATTTATCTTTTAAAAAATGTATAAAGAAGGTTTTAAGCAATTGTAACACATTTTTTACGTTTTAGCCATAGGCCTTTATCTAAACAAAGGCTTTGATAAGATATGAAGACGTTTAGGATAAAATGATAAAACTCGCCTTCTTGTCATAGAGTTTTTATCATTTTACCTGTATTACGCACATTTATGCACCATTTTTTAAGTAATGCATACATTTTCATCAAGTTACTCACTAATTGTCGTAGCGACGAAAACCGTTAAAGGCCCCTAAAAACCATTTTCATCAAAATAAAAGAGAGGAAAAAATGTATAAAAAGAAGAAGTAATTGTTAAATACTATATTGCCGTTTTAGCAGCAGGTTCTTTATCAAAACAAAGGACTTTATAATATGAAAAGTTTTAGGATAAAATAACTCTTTTATAGTCTATTGACATAGATAAATTCGCCTAAAACCGGGATTTTCAACCAAGGATAAATTTACTCCAAAGGGTAGAAAGTGTACATGACAGCCTCAATGCGAGAGGTCTTAGCAGCTAGCAGGCGAATTTCCATTTCTTTTCTTAAACCAAGTCATCAGTAACTATATATTTTCCATAATCAACATATCACTTGCAAACAAAGGCGCTTACTTTTTCTTTCTATGCGACATTAGACATTCCTGATTTTTACATGGCAGTATCGGGTATGTGGCGAGCAAATACACAGAAACTAGACGGAAAGAAAAATACGAAAAGCATAGATAGCAAATGAAATGGCAGCACGAAGCTTGTGGATTGTATTTAGAAAGTGTACTTATTCACAGTTGGTCGATTTCCTTCCGTGATCCTCATATTTGTACTTTGATACGGAATTGAAGGTATATAGATAGCTAAACAGTCCAGTAATTAAGTATTTCGGTAAAACGTGTATAAAAACGTGACTTAAACAATACTATCACAGCGATAATGAAGTGTCACCATGAGATAAGAATCCCGATTTGAAACTTCAGGTAAAAAAATAAGATATTAATAGACAAACAGTTCTCCCAAGAGAAAGTTGTCAACAACTATCACGTGACCAGTCCTGGGCTCGAGACGTTGATAACATTACGCCGCAGCTGACATCAATGTGTTTATAAATGAATGCGTGGTAGTTTCAGGTTTGGGATCTGGAACTGATCCGGAGTATACCAACTGGTGGAAAATACCCAGTTGCCAGGATGTTGTAAGTCCTATAAAAAATCCAGCAGAGACTCGACACTAGAAAGAAAAAAATCCCAATGTTATAAGGTGAATGATCGTCAGAGGAGACACATTTTAACAAGCAAAGTAAGTAAGTAATAAAGACAAGAAAATAAATGTGCTAGACATTTAACAAGCAAATGAAATGGCGTTGTGAATAAAGGAACATATGATTTATTAAAAACATTTTATTATTTTGTTACATAGTTCATTCAGCTGACACATACTCAGTTTCTCATTATACAGTCGGAATTACCAAATATTATTAACTAATTCAGTATTTTCTTATAAATAATTTCCTTAGAATAAAAACAACCACTTTTAATTGGAATCCTAAAGTAAGTTCATCAACAATTAAATTTTCTTTAAAAACTTTTGAATCTTGCAAGTTAACTACATATTCCTTTATGGTGATTCAATACTATCCAGGATAGAGATTAAGGAAATAAATACCTCTATATCTGAAGTAGCATCTTTATCACAAAAAACGTGTACATAAATGCCATACTACAAAAAGCATTCAGTGGAAATCCATACTCATTGTTATAAAAAACTGACATTTTTACAAAGAGACAAGGAAAACAAGGTAATTGTTTCATTGTAATTAATGATATGTAACCTGCAGTGCATCTGGTGTCTCATATGTAACTATAAAAATTATACAAATATATTAGCTGAACTCATGTAAACATCACATGAATAGAAGGATGAAGAAGGTTTAACAAAGGAACTATTAATCAAAATATATATCATGGACCTATTATCAAAAGTTTATAAATTAACATGTGTAATAAAGTAGGTCATGAAGATGATCAAGCTGGGTGTTCACTGGCAAGAATGAAGAGATTTTCAACCAAACAAGTCTTTTTCTCCTGCAGATCTAGTAGCAAATACATTTTGGCTTCTTATATTCAACATCCTTTCCAAACATTATTCCATAGAACAATTTCATATCCTCCATTCCCTACTTTCCTTCCCTATGAAATCATTGCAGTATACAAATAGAACATTTGTACTATAAGGTTCTATCCACACAAGCCTGTGCAATATTTTATCCCCTTTGATCAGGATGATAAAAAATTATTGATTTCTTTTTTGAGTACACTGTATATGCTGCATATTGTAATCAATATCTTTTCCCTCTGGAATAATAATCAAAATAAACATGAAATTTGTCTTATACAACAAAGTATTCTGATGTGAAAAAGACAGTATTACAAAGGAAAAATGAAGAGCCAACTTAGGATTAGTAGCTAAAACAGCCCTGAATATTAAGTTATTAGAAGAATCATTCACTGCAATCAATGAGCAGCCACAAACCACTTAGGAACTAAACAAGCAATCTGAAGACAACAATTAACTTGAAGAACAATTCAATTAAAATTATACATAAATGGAAGAGGTAATATGTAATACATGTACTGTATGTTGGTGAGATGAGATTTTCTATAAAGACAAAATTATTAAAAGAAATACAGCATATGCCACATAGCTTATTCAATTGTAAATGACTATCACAAACAATATGAATTTATGCCCATTCACCGTAACTACTCATGCCTTCTGAACACTTATTTTTCTTCTCACATGCAGGACACTCCACCACATAATATGGATGATGCCAAATACTTCACAGTTTTCTCCTTTTCCTTTTACATACAATGTTTCTATGTAGCAAAAAAAAAAAAAAAAAAAAAATAAATTTAAATATACCAGTATAATCCTCATGACATTTAGTTCTCTAAATTTCACATGAATTTCCTCTATTGATCCTGACCTATCACAAATCCTCAGCATCTGAGTACTGCACTCCCTTACGGCGGGATAAGGAACGTCTACCTCTAGAAACTCGACGAACTACCCTTTCCCCTCCTGCTGGACTGTTGTAGCTCTGAAAACGTAAGTGCAATGTTTAAAGTTAAACACACCAAAATATAGTTTATCTTTTTATAGATCTTTTACTTTGCACATATTCTTACTTATAATTTACTCTGCAACATATTCTTATCAATAACTTACTATGCAACATATTCTGAAAAAAATTAAATATTGCCTTTATAGTTGCAATATCTATCCATATATAACTAACACTGGCTTTATGGATTCTATATGTATCCATGTAGAACTATCACTGATAGATTACAAATTACTACATACACAACCTGCCCTCTGAATCAGTCTATAAGATGGATTCTCAACGAACTTGTAGAGCCTTTCAAAAAGATTGATTCCACATGTTCCTATATTTCCTCTATTCATTTCTTTATCATTTAGCAAAGAATTATATAGGTAAATTGATATAACTGATTAACCAATAACAGGAACTTTCTTACTTAAATATCCTTTCTACAAATATATAACAATAAGAGACACAACATGTATTTATTGCTTCCACTTGGCTCCCAGCTTCTGAACTGCAAAATTAACTCACCTACTGTGAAACCATCAATATATTTCCTCCTTATGGTGGGAGCTTCAATACAATTCTGCTGAAGGGCCCATAGAGCCTTGGGCCATCCTCATTAAAGTCAAATCTAAGAGCTACTCTTAACTGAAAAGTTAATGCTTACCTGATTAAGGTCAAAATCATCTAAATCTGATTCTGCTCCTACTGTCGGAGGAACTTGGCTTGGGACATTCTGACTCATGAGTGGCCTCTTTCTTGGAACCTTGCAACACTCTGCAAATAATCAGAACATTAGCCAAAAATGTCCAGCTAAAATATATAAATATACATATTTTTAAAATTAATGGTACAGTATAATAATAGTAAAAGCAAATTCCATAAATACTAAGAAATTATGCAAATTAAAAATAAAAATGAGTAACACATGCAAGTCACCACTAAAGTCACTGTAGCCTTACCACTGTTTTCCTTTCCACAGTTAACTTTCCCACAGCCCTTTGATTTTCCTTCTGATTTCTGAGACTTTTCTACTGATTTTGGTTCCTTCTCTTTTGGTGGTGTTACCTTTTTCTTCTGGTATGCTAAATGACTACCAAAAATTGGAGCTAATCGAACATTTGACGGCTTCAGGCCAGAGACAGTAGATTTTTCATCTTTTCCACCTTTCTGCTTGTTTTTCTTTGGTGTAGCATCAGCAAAAAGGTCTTCATCTGAATCAAACATCTGTGGGGAAGAACTTCTATCATGTGAGGATGACGATGTCCCCGTTTTGCTCTCACCATTGATGAATTCCTGTCCAAGGTTCTTCTTTGACTGTGGTTCTTCTTTTCTACTGTTACATTGCACAGGGGAAGAATTTGCCCTTGATCTGATCTCAGTCTCTAGCAGTTCTTTTAGGGGTGATACATGAACTTTACTCTTTGGATCAATATACTGAAACTCATACACTTCCTGGTCTGCTGCCGAGGAACTCTCCAACTTTGGTCCCTCATCTTTCTGGGCATGGCTATTACTTGCTTCTGAATTTGTCAAGAAAAATGATTTCCTTCTTTTGGGAGGGTTATCTACAGAATCATCAGGGGAACGTGGCACCTGGGACACCTTTCCAATTGAAGTCTCTTTAGACGATGTATGCAAGGTTAATGCACTAGTAAAATCATTCTTGTTGGAGGACTTTGAAGGCAAAACACTTGAGCTCTTTGAGTCTGATATCTGAGTTGAGGTGAAAAGGAACCTACTAGGTGGAATGACTAAGCTGCTTGGTGAAGAGCAGAAGTCATCGTCAAGATCTCTTTCGTTGCAGCCTCCAACAATTGTTGAGCTAAATTGGGATGGTAATATAATGCCCGTTTCATTTTTAACACTAGCGTCATGAGCAACTGTGGTATTTTGGGTTGACCCTAAACCATCTACAAGCATGGACAAAGCTCCAGCTGTTGTTGATGAACTGTTCTCTGAGTCAAGCAACATCTTGGCAGTCTGAAATTTACTTGAATTCCCACACACTGCATCCTTCTCTACTGTTGCTGTTTGAGTTTCATTCATGCTGTGAACAAACAAACAAAAAGTTAAATCACACACTTCAGGTAACTGATTAGTTAAACAGTGTTCATTGCAACAAATGTAGAAAAGGTATGAATGAGCATTAATATCTTTACAGAGCAAAAGACATATTCGACTAGTTTCTATCATATCTTCAACAAAAAGACATGTATGTCTGATGAAGATATATTCCAAACATTCAAATACATCTCTTCCATGATGAAGATGTCTGCAACTGATTAGCTAACAAGCATCTTTACAACAAACATTCTAACATTCCTGCAACAATCCACAAACACTAAAATCTTCCAAAAGATTTAAAAAAAAAGGAAAAAAAGCACCACCAAAAACTGTAAAACACACCTAAAAGAGTCCTACCTTTCAGGTTTCTTTGGTGGATTAGCGGTCATATTTCTCGCAAACTGATTGAGACTGGAGAGTCCCATGGCATAAGACGGATGGTGCACAATCTTATTGCGCACCCACTTGGAGAGACCCTTCGTATACTTGTTCTGTTGGACTCCGCTGCTCAGACTGCCCCTCTGGTACCTTTCATCAACAAGGATCAGGGCACCCCAGTCATAGCGGTGACGCAAGCACCGTCCTAGAGCCTGATTAACTGCCCTGTGATACGAGGAAAAGACATGAGGAACCTGTTGTCATATTGCTCCTGAGAAAGTTGTACTGACCAATAAGGAACCTGATATTACAATACAATATGAATACAAATGTCCAAGATAATTCATAAAATACCATAGAATCATTTATTCAAAGTGAAAATTGCCATAAGAACAGAAGAAACCCCACAAGAATTTTTAGTAATATACCTTTTGAGTTTCTAACAGCAATCTCAAAGACAAAACTGTAATACCCAAACTAAATTCTAAACTAAACAGAACACCTTACCTATATGCCTGGATCTCATACCAATCCCCGCCAGAGAGGAGACCTCGAGTGCGACAGTGAGCGTTATTGTACTGTCGCTTAAGATCGACCTGGATGTCCTTCACATTTGGAAATGGAATTCCAACCTATGAAGTGGAAATAATAAAATTCATACTTTCTCTGATTACATATTCTCTGAAAGTGATAAGGGTTGAATACTTTCACCATGTAAGGTATATATCATTGCTCAGAATATAACTCCATAAGAGATTTCTCAATGTATCTTGTTAAATGATGTGCAAAATACAGTACAGATAACTAAATTAGATAAGTACTTAGGCTCTCATTATAAAAAAAATATGCCCTTACTCTATGACACTGTATCATGTCTTATACATGGCAGCAATTTACATTCTGGTTGTAAAACTCACAAATCTACAAATTAACATACATTCACGAGTATTGTTTGCCATATACTAATCTAATGTAATAAAAAGGTATTTTCAAAGAGCCAGCCATTTTTTCCTCTTTTTTTTGTGATGGATGTTAGGGAGTAGAATATCAAACATCCACCAAGTTATCTTAAAACCTGATACATAAAAAATATATAGCTTTTAAGTTATAGCCAAAATGTGAAAAATGTTCAAGGTTCTAAAGTTATAAGTTCCTGAAGTAGCTCAAGTGAATAGGATTTGGTCTCATTGACTCCTAAAAAGAGTGCTCAGGACTTGTATGTGTTTTAATCAAACATCTATAAAGGCCTCAAAATAGCATATTATAAAATTGGAAAACTTTTTTCTCTCTCTCTCTTACCATATTTATTTCTACATGCAAAATATATAAAGTAATGAAGGAACTCTGCATGATGTAATGCCTTTTGTGGAGACCATTATAATTATCCACATCATTACTAATTTGAAAAAACAAATCCCCTTTCCACTGACAGGGTAAACACTAAAAATTCAGGGAAGGAAGGGGTTTCTTGTGCTAAGGGGAAAAAATTAACACCTAAACAATGTATGAAAAAGCAAATATCAAAACCAAAAAACTTTGTATCTATGGCCATTTTAAAGGTACATAGTCTCCCTTGAATTCCACCACTTGTACAATTTCTTTTTCCAGCAAAAACAATTAGTTTAAATTATACTGAAAACTACTGCAGTTTAAATCTTACTCTACCATGTTGATGAAATATATTAATTCAACAATCATAGTCCATTCAAAGTAGTACTTATTTTGTAGACCACTTACAGCTATAACAGCACGTGCATTATCATCCGTGAAGTCTAGTCCTTCACTGACTTTTCCTCGACAAACAGCCATGAAAAACGCGCCATTCACTTCACCATCACACTCTTCCCTGATAAAAGAAGAGTCTGTCAACACTATCATGAATATTATGTGAATTATTTGATCAAATATATAAAAGCGATTCTCTTTCCTAATACTGAAATAGATTTACACAAAATACATAGGGGTAAAAGTAATAAAACTAATCACAACACTACATAAACCCAAGCACAAACAGATACCCAGTTCTCCTAATAGTGTCATAGAAGAGTTTCATCGTCTCCTCAAATTCCTCCCCGCTGCGAGGCTCACACATGCTGATCTTGACTTTGTTCAATTCATCCCAGAGCCCAGTTATCTGCCATCTGTTGAGAAATAGAAAAAAGAATGTGGAATGCTCCTAAAAAAGGTAGAGGGAGTTATTAAAGTTAAAATAAAGACAATTACATCATTCTTATAGTTACAGACTTACTGTAAAGAGAATGGAATAACCAAAATTTACATTTTCTTTACAGGGAAATAATGTGATTAATTATCAACTTCAAACAAAAGGAAAACACTCTACCTATCAAGGAGTTTGTTCAGCAGGGAATAGGAGGGCAAAAAGCACAAGACTCCCCGGGGAACAGAGCGACACACATCCAGCACCAGCTTCCCTAACTCGTCTTGGAATCCCCAGGTCTCTGTGTGCCGGTATGTTGCCTGGAGCATTTGGTCGGTTGGCCCCTTTCCAACAGTGCCAACCCATACCTGCAATGTGTTGACTGAATTAGGTGACTGAATTCTGATATGACATTGGTGCAAAAGATCTATGACTGAAATTAGGTAAATCACAGAGAATAATGTACTTGTTCGTTTGTGTTACCAAGGATATTGTATTGTTTATAGTCTGTATCAAAATTTTCTATAAAAAAATTACATAAAAAATGATTGAGAACAATTCTACTGCAAAATGAAACAGAAATAATCCATTCCCAATGAACTATTGCAATTTACAATAAAAGCTCACTTTCAAAAATACAGATCTGAGCACCACATTACCTGATTCTTGTCAATGACATGATTAGCCTCCAGCTGAATCTTAAAAGGGACTCCCAGTTCAGACTGAAATGAACTCATTGGAGACAGGGTGCCGGAGGTCAGGATGATGCAGCGGACATTTGCACCGACTGAACTGAATGCCACA